GACAGTGTTCCATCTGTATGTATGCCTGCAGGCCAGAAGAGGGCGCCAGATCTCAAGAAAGAAGGTTGTTGAAAACCTGTTGGTTCTCACAACCAAATCTTCACTTACGTCAATGCCTGCCAGTTACTCTGGGTTCTTTTTGTTTGTTTGTTCATTTTTTGAGCAGGATTTCTTTTCATAAGCCTGGCTGTCCTGGAACTTCCTCTGTAGACCAGGTTGACCTTGAATTCACAGAGATCTGCCTGCCTCTGCATCTAGAGTGCTGGGTTCATGATGTGTGCCACCACCACCTGGTTACTCTGAATTTTCTATGTATAGTCTCTCCAATTAACATCACCTATTTTCTTCTATAATCCCATTTGCCTTGGACTTCTCTTTCAGCTTTACTCTAGTTTCTCGGGTTTTCATATTTATTAGTCAATTTACACTTTAACTATACACTTTTGTTAGATGTCATTTGTGTTTATTACTTCATGAAAAAGAAGTAGCACAAATGATAAACTATTTGTACATGGAACTAATAGTGTTTTGTTATTTGCTATGAATACTGCCTAGGTTGCCACATGTGTGGATTTAAATAGAAAGTTCTTATGTTTACTATTTATTAAGAAGTCCACGTGTCCTCTAGCCAAGTTGACGAGGAACTGATTATATAGCCCAGGGTGGTCTTGAACTTGCTGCAATCCTGTCTCTGCTTTTTTTTTTTTAAAGATTTATTTATTTATTTTGTTTACTGTGTTCTGTCTGCATGTGTGCCTGCAGGCCAGAAGAGGGCACCAGATTTCTTTACAGATGGTTGTGAGCCACAGTGTGGTTGCTGGGAATTGAACTCAGGACCTCTGGAAGAACAATCAGTGTTCTTACCATCTGAGCCATCTCTCCAGCCCCTGTCTCTGCTTTTACAGTGCTTCCATTGCAAGTGTGAGCCACCACGCCAAACTATAATCACTATTTTAAAGGAGCTCGGAGAGCACGTCCTGTTCTCACAGAGGCCCTAGGTTTGGTTCCTAGCACCGTACATAATTCCAATTTCAGGGAATCCCATGAACCCTCTTCTGACACTGGTAGGCAACAGCCACACACACAGTGCACAGACATACACACAAGCAGAACACCCATACAGATAATATCTAAAAATATTTTTTAAAATTAAAGTAGACCTATAGAGTGTAATTCCATGTGGATTTCAATAGAAGGCCCTGCATACTAAACAGCTGTTGAATGCGCAGAAAAGGCTAATTGCTTCAGGCATGCCTATACCAGTACATGTCAACAAGCTTCCAACTGTATTTGAGAAATCCAGTTACATCAAACCACCCACCAGACTGTCTGAGATCATTTCTCTACAAGAGTGGAAGAGAGAAACCATTCAAATTTGACTGCATTTGGCCATAAAGTCTTTAAAGGAAGTACTTTCAAACCAAATGAGGTCTTAGAGTTCACCAGGGCTCCCATTCTTAGAGGAAGAGGAATTAAGCTCTCTCTCTACAAGACAAGGTGCAGAAAGAAGGCAGCTACTCGCAATCCAGGAAGACAGAAAGAGCTAACGCCAGAAATCAACCTTCATTTTAGAGACATCTATTCTCCAGAACTGTAAGACAGAACCGTTGGCTTTCTAATTGCCCAGTCCAGTCTGGTATTTTGTTATGCCAGTGTGAGCTGAGTTGATTAATTCATTAGGCAAAGGCGTTTTACAGAGCAGCTGCAGAAGGCATGCTCTGTGCCCTAGCCTATCTAGCTCATGATTCCTTTTCTGGATGTCCCCATAACCACTTTAACCTCTAAGAAGAGCCAAGTACAGAGGTCAGTATATACTTCCTTACTGGATTTGTTACTTGCTGTTACAAATCACCACAAACTTGGAGGCCGAAAACAACACAGATCTATGGCCCTATCATTTTAGACGTCAGAAGTTAAGTGTGACCCATCCAGGTGAAATTGACAGATCAGCTGGGGTGCAGTACTTTTGAAGATTCAGAGGAGAACTAATTTCCTTGCCCTTTTCAGCTTCCAATTTCTTAGCTAGTGATTGCCTTCCTCTAAGTCAATAAATAGCCTTTAATGTCAGCATTCTCAATTAGAGGGTAGAGGCAGGCAGATCTTTGTGAGTTTGAGGTCATTTAGTGAGACCTTGTCTCAAAAATCAATCAAACAACAACAAAACTGAAACGAATCCCCCCTAAACACCATCAAAACCCAAACTGATCACTAATTTCCCTCCTTTTTGAACTGGATTGATTCATTCCTTAGCACTATTGTTGGCTCGTCTGCAGACACTGCATATAGACTCTGGGAGGGATTTGACATGCCCGTCTCAATAACCAGAGTAGGATTCTGCACTTACAAAGCACTGAGAATTTTCTTGTCTTTCCCACCCCCTACCCCAGACCTACTCCCTGCTCCAGCACTCAGATTATTTGTGAATTTCAATTATTTGAGAGATCAGCTCATTGCGTACCTTTGAAATAAACAGAATGCATTACCAAAATGTTAGGTCTCAACTTCAGGGCCTTTTTTGGTTAGCAGAGAATTCGTTATTAGTTCTCAGTTGCTTCACATGCTGCCAGCAAGTTTTCAACTTACCGAATCCATGCTTTGGTTTGGCTAAGAGTGCTCTCACCCCATTCCTTGTTTGTCATGACTTTAATCCAAAGCCATACAATGAGACAACCCCATTAAATTAGAGGTAGGAACACACTGTTCAGTGTGATCACACAGCAGGAAACTTTAACAATATATTCACTAACTAGGGAAGCAAGGACCTTACATGGAAAAGACACTTGTTATATGACATAATATTGCTGAATTTAACTCAAGACTGGATCCGGGCTACATCCTGCACTTCGGCCATCTTGCATTTACCCTATGGCGCATCTTAGTTATCTGCCAGGCATCAAACTCTTGTCTATGCTATCCCAGTCACCTCTGCTCGATCTGGGAGATACTTTAGTTTTATAATCTCTCCTGGGTATGCGGCAGGTGTTTTAGGCACCTGTCGAGGTATGAGGCGGACACAACTATGTCTTCAGATGCAGGGCAGGAAGTTTTAGCTATCTCTCCAGGTAGCAGATGCTCATTTTAAATTTCTCTCTAGGTACCGGGAAGGATTCTTACCTATGTCTCCAAGTTTTCCAGCAGATATCTTACACCCCAAGTCCCAGCACAGAGCAGACATGAGCGCTATGTCTCCAAGCTTTCCAGTAGGCATGTTTCCTACACTCCAAGTCCCAGCACAGAGCAGACATGATAGGTATGTCTCCGAGCTTTCCGGCAGAACTTGTTTACTACACCCCAAGTCTCAGCGCACAGCAGGTATTTCCGGCAGACATATTTACTACGCCAAGTCCCAGCACAAAGCAGGTACTTCCGGCAGACATTTTACTATACCAAGCCCCAGCACAGAGCAGGTATTTCCGGCGGACATTTTCTGAACCCCAAGTCCCAGCAAACAGCAGCCATTTTGGGTATGGCTCTAAGTTTTCCTGCAGACATATTACCCCCTATTGAGGGCCCGCTGCTTGTTTGTTTCCTGGCCACCCAAACTATAGAAACAATCACACATCAGTATCTATTCATTGTAATGCTGTTTGGCCAATAGTTTACAATCTCCCAAGTTCGAGTACCGAGCAGACATGATAGGTATGTCTCCAAGTTTTCTGACAGACATATTCACTACTACACCCCAAATCTCAGCACAGAGCAGGAATTTCCAGCAAACAAATTCACTAATACACCCCAAATCCCAGTACAGAGCCAGTATTTCCGGCAGACATGATCACCACTACACCCCAAGACTCAGTACGGAGCAGGTATTTCCGGCAGACATTTTCCCGAACCCCAAGTCCCAGCAAACAGCAGCCATTTTGGGTAGGGCTCTAAGTTTTCCGACAGACATATTACCCCCTATTGGGGCCCTCTGCTTGTTTGTTTCCTGGCTGCCCAAAGTACAGAAACAATCGCACATCAATATCTATTCATTGTAATGCTGTTTGGCCAATAGTTTACAATCCCCCAAGTTCGAGTACAGAGCAGACATGATAGGTACGTCTCCGAGTTTTTCTGGCAGAGATATTCACTACTACACCCCAAATCTCAGCACATGGCAGACATGATAGGTATGTCTCCAAGTTTTTCTGGCAGACATAATTATTACACAAGTCCCAGTACAGAGCAGACATATAATCCGTGCCTCCAAGATTTCCAGGAGACCTCTTAAACCCCAAGCCTGAGTACTGGACCAGCATCTAACATAACCTATGACTCCGTGTTTCCCGGTAGACATTTTAGCGTGTCTCCAGGTCTCAAGCTGGCATCTTAACTAGTATCTTTCATAACCCGTGCCTCCAAGATTTCCAGCAGACCTCTTACACCCCAAGCCTGAGTACTGGACCAGCATCTAACATAACCTATGACTCCGTGTTTCCCGGTAGACATTTTAGCGTGTCTCCAGGTCTCAAGCTGGTATCTTAACTAGTATCTTTCTTTTCATGCTCTGAGCTGAACCTTAGTTATCTGCCAGGGATTTAAGTCACCTCTACACTATCCCTTAAGCATTTTGTCATCTCTGCTCTATCGGTAGACATTTTAACTTCTCAGGGTGCAAGACCGGTATTTTATCCATCACTTCAGGTACAGGGCGGCCATTAACTATGTCTGCAGGTCTCAGGGCATGGGCATTTCACCTGTCTCTCAGGGTAGCGATCAGGCCTTTTAATTTCCCTCTCCGTTTCCCGTACAGGCATTTTAATATTGTCCCCAGGTTCTGGGCAGGCCTTGTAGCCACCTGTATGAGTCCCGGCCAAGGATTTAACTATCTCTCTGGCCTATGGGAGACGCACTAGCCACCGCTCCATTTCCCAGGAAGATATTTTAACTTTGTTACCAGGTCTTGTGTTCAGATCAAATAGTTTGGTAATTGTTTAAGGTCCCAAGGAGACATTTTACCTCCCTCAGCAGGTAGCCATTTCGTTGCTCTCATAGGCGTCTGAGCCATTTCGCTTCTACCTCGCCCGCATCTCACTCACCACTGCGTTCTGACGGTCCTTCTCGCCTCTTCCGTCATGCACTCGCTGCTGCTGCCGCCGGGAGTGGATGTGGGTCCAGCGAGGACTACTGGGTTCGAGAAGCCAAGAAACATGGTACGTTGGGTTCCAGAGCAAGAATAACACGGAAAGAGAGGAAAGCAGAGAGCAATTTTGTGGAGCTCAGGAAATACCCAGAGTGCCAGGAAAGTGGCGATAGGGTCTTGCTGAGACCATGTGGAGCTTGGAGCATCTCTGCTGATCTTACAAAAATAAATACCAGGGACCAGGGACCTGGGACCTGGGACCAGGGACAGGAGCAGCACTGCTAGGGTTGCTAGCTGGCGTCAGCTGTTTTGAGTGAGGGAGCACAGAGAGAGAGAGAGAGAGAGAGAGAGAGAGAGAGAGAGAGAGAGACTTAAAGCTCTTGAGGCTGGAGTCCTGCAGAGAGGGCGTGGTCAGGGAGCAGGGAAAGAGGACAGAGGACCCCTGAAAGAGGAGGGGAAAAAGGAGGAGCAGAGTGTGGGGCGGGAAGGAGAGCAAATGGGTCAGTGCTACTCCAGACGGTTGAGTGGCAAATAGGAAGCAGCTTGCCTGATCATGTGGCCCTGAGCCTGGAGACCCAGAACGCAGGGAGCAGCTCCAACACAGCCTCACTTCTACTATGGCTAACGACCTGCATGTTTTCTTTGTGGCAGAGGGCCTGTACCCCACCCATTTCTGCCCCTGACCCCTTGCCTTCTCCTGTCCTTTCTTTTCAGCCATTTCTAACGTGGGAAACAGAACTTACCACTAAGTATGGAGGAAAATTAATGGATGGACATACCTATTTCCCTAGTTGACAGGAGACTTAATCTACTAGTGAAAATTTCCTTAAACTGTGCACCTTCAAATCGCAAGAAACACCTGCCTTTGCGTCTGAGTGCTGGGACTGCAGGCATATGCCACCACGCCCAGATGATACACTGGTTTCTAATCTACACATGGGCCAAACACGCTATTTTATAAACTGCTAGCTTTAAAACTTGGGATAAGCAAAAAATTTCATTAAATAAACCTGAGATGTTATGGGTCATGCCAGTTACCCCAGGACACAGAAGTTTGAGGGAAGAGGATTAAAAGCACAGGGTAACCCTCAGCTACATAGCAATTTTGAGGCCAGCCTGGGCTATATGAAATCCTACACCCTGCCTTACTCCATCACCCATAAGTATTATTGAGAAATGGTTGCTCAAAGCACTTTGACAAAAATATAACACGGCAGATTCACAGAGGTGTTTTAGCCCATGTAGTAGACGGTTGTATGTGTCCCCTGGCACACAGAAGGGCTCATGGACTATCTCTGGCCTGGGGATGATATGATCAGTGATCTGTTGTGGCCGCACCACGGGACCCCCAAACAAGACCACCACAGAGTCAGTATCCCAGGCAAACACACTGGCTTTATTGATTACAAGATGGATTGACCTCAATCCAACACACCATCACAGAGGGTAGGGGAGAGCAGCCCCAAGGCTTCAGGGTAAGGGGGCTGATTTTAAAAGGAAAACCAGCAAGGTGGGGTAGTATCAGCATTGGCGCGTTTTGGGATTGGGTAAAAGTATACATTTTTTGAATTCATTGATTGGGGTATAAGGGAATTTCAAAACAGTAGTCACTTTGATCAGGGCAGGAACAGTTCCTTGGGAATGTTTATGACTTTGCTGGGCTGCACTCACCTCCGCCCCCTGTTAGGTCCTGTCTAAAATGGAGTTCTTTCTCAAAATGGAGTTTGTTCTGCTCCTTCAGTACAGTGGTTTCCTAGCATTCCTGAGGCTTTGGTTCTATCCCCAGGGCTCGGGGAAGAAAGGGGATGCTGCGCTTGTAGCTCATGCTTATAACAGCAGTACTTGGGAGGCCTAGGACTGCCCTCAGTGTGAGGCCATCATGGAGTAGACTGCAAGGCCCTGTTTCAGGAAAGCCAAAGAAAAAATAAAGGAATCTGCCAATGAAGAATCTGCCAATGAAAAAATAAAAAACAAATCGCAAGAAAAGACTATAAACGCCAATATCAAAACAAACTGCCTTGCCGGGCGGTGGTGGCGCACGCCTTTAATCCCAGCACTTGGGAGGCAGAGGCAGGTGGATCTCTGTGAGTTCGAGACCAGCCTGGTCTACAAGAGCTAGCTCCAGGACAGGCTCCAAAAAAAACCACAGAGAAACCCTGTCTCGAAAAACCAAAAAAAAAAAAAAAAAAAAAAAACTGCCTCAAATGTCAATTTTCTTTTAAAATTTTATTTTTATTTTATGTGTGTGGATGCTGCAGTTGCTTGTATTTCTATGCTCCACTTGCATGCAGAGACCACGGAGGCCTGATGAGAGCATCAGATCCCCTGGAACTGGAGTTACAGGTGATTGTGAGCAGCTACGAGGGTGTTTGAGTATCTAACCTGGGTCCTCTACAAGAGCAGCCAATGAGTGCTCATAACCACTGTGCTATCTCTATAGCCCCAGTGTGAATTTTCAATGGGCAAAGCTTTGTTGGCATATGATACGAAGTTCATAAAGGGTGAAAATTTTTACCAGGAAATAGAATGTAGAGGGGTTGGAGAGATGCTCAGGACTGGCTGCTCTTCTGAAGGACCAGGGTTCAATCCCAGCACCAACACGGCAGCTCACAACTGTAATTCCAGTATCTGACACCTTCACAGAGACAGAAGTACATGCAGGCAAAACACTAATGCATATAAAATAAAATAGATAGGACGTAGCATTGTTGAAGCCCATGCAGGGGGAGGGGGCATGCTGAGTGCAAAAGGCAGGTTCTTCAAATAAAATGAATACAGAAATCTCCAAGAACATGATATTTTGTCAAAAAGTTTCCTGCACCATCCAAACAGGTCTGAAATATTAAATTTCACATTCTAGAATATTGAATAAAAGCTAGAAAGGAGACTGAAACACTCTATTTTGTTTTGTTTTTCAAGACAGGGTTTCTCAGGAGCTATGCAGTCAGTCCTGGAACTGGCTCTGCAGATCAGACTGGCCTCGAACTCACAAAGATCTGCCTGCTTCTGCCTACAGGGGTTTAAGGCGTGCACCACCACAAACCCAGCCACTCTTATGTTCTTTGTACCATCTTTGTACTCAAACAAATGTTGAAAAATGGCTTCTTCCCCAGAAGCCATCAGTTCGCAGAAGTAGAAATTCAACAAGCAAGCATGGACATCCACACTAAGCTGCATCCAAGCTAATCACCCACCTTCCCCAACAATATTGAAGTAGCTCCATGTTCTTAGTGAAGCAGGAGGATCTGCTTGGGTTCAAGGACAGCCTAGGCTGAGTAAATTTCAGGACAGCTGTCTTAGGGTTTCTATTGCTGTGACAAAACACCCTGACCAGAAAGCAAGCTGGGGAGGAAAGGGTTTATTTGGCTTATACTTCAACATTGCTGTTCATCGCTGAAGGAAGTCAGGACAGGAACAGAAACTAGGGAACCCTAAAACAAGCTAGCTGGTATGACTAGCCATATTGCGAGCTCTGGGTTTGATTGAGAAACTGCCTCAGTGAATAAGGTGGAAGAACAATCAAGGATGATCCCCGACATCAAGTTTGGGCCTTCGCCAGCATGCACGCCCACATGCATTTGCACCTATGCTTGTGTGTGTGTCCACACACACACAAAACATGCATGTGCAAATGCACATGAGAAAAGAAAAATAGGAAATAACTTTAAAAATTTAAAAACACATAAAAGGCCAGCAAACATGGTTTAGCAGGTAAAAGCATTGTCCTGCAAGCCTGGAAACCTGAGTTTAATCCCTAGAGCTGATATAAATGTGGAAGGAGAGAGCCATCTTCACAAACAGTCATCTGTCCTCCACGAGCACGCCGTGACATGAAAACTCACACAGGCTGCTTGTGCACACAAGCAACAACAATAAGTAAAATTGCCTTTTTAAAAAAAATCAAAATTTTACATTTATGTTTGAATCAAAATGTCTGGAAGGATATTAGCAAAATGCCAACAGCTCTGTCATTGAGAAGCGGAATTTAGGAGCATTCTCTCTGTTTCTAGCTACCAAAAATCAAACCCTGGGTTCCATGCATGATAGGCAATCACTCTGCCACTGAGCTAGACCCTCAGGCTACCTTTCCTTTATATTTTTCTGTGGTCTTAGTCTCCCTACAATGAACAGCTGCTTTGTCATTAGAAGACAAAGTTAAGGTTAATGTTCATAAGAAAGAAAAACACAGAGAAAGATGACATTTTTATTGGCTTGGCATATATTTTCCCCCAACAAAACAGGAGGCAACTCAAGAGTGGAGAGCAGGAGGGGATGACATGAAGAATGTGAACAAGGTAAGAACGAGCTGTTTAAGAGAGCGAGGTGATTAAGAGCATGCAGGGCCTAGTCGTGAGTGATCCTCGTTAACCTTCCCAGTCACGGAAATGTCCTTAACAACTGGAGATCGGCACAGGTTAAAGTGCAGCTATGAATATTTGGATTCCTGCAGGGGTTGGAAGGGAAGCTGGAGCCTTGACTGGGGAGTTGGAGGCATTTGCAAAATAGCAATCGTGATAGTAATTCAGGAATTTAGGTGGGTAAGAAAGCAAGTGAAGAGGGAAAGAGAATGGTGTAAAGAGAGAGTGTGTGGGAGGGGTTAAAGAATTGGAGGCTTCACGTGGTGTCAAAGAATTGCAGCGGGGTTACTTGAGCAAGTGAGCTGGGAAGCTAGGTGAGTTGTAGACACAGCCCCGTTTGAATTAGTGATTGCTGAAGCCTAAATTCTGACAACTTCTGTAGGTTGCAGAGATTGAACCACCCTTCTTCCTGTCCCAACACTATCATTCGTGCATTTTTACTATTTGTCTAGAGGTCAAATGCATTGCGCATTGCACAACACTCCAGGCCGTTTCCACTTTGTTACTGACACATAATTATACACACTTATGAGGTATAATGTAATCATTCAATGCGTAATGACCAAATCAGGGTAATTGGCACTTCCAGCTGCTCAAACAAGTGCCATATCTCTTTTGTTTTAGACAGGGCCTCAATCAGGCTAGCCTTAAACTAGCAATCCTCCTGCCTTTGTCTCCTGATGCTAAGATGTTAGATGTGTGCCACCATGCCTACACATTCTCTGTCTCTGTCTCTGTCTTTCTCTCTCTCTCTCTCCCTCTCCCCTCTCCATCTCTCCCCCCTCTCAGTTTTCAGAGATAGAGATTGAATCACAGGGTATTGGCATGTTAGGCAAGTGTTCTACCACTTGAGCCACTCCTAGACCAATGCCTGGTTAATCAAAAGGAACTCACCTCAGGGCAACTCTGAGAGCCCTTTCTCACACCCAATACCCACATCCCTTTCGGTGTGCGCCTGGAGGGCTTCAAAGAGACATGGCTACCCACCGCCTGGAAGAGAGGGACTGACCTCGCTGCAGGTTAAAAGTGGGCACTGCCTCTATCAATCCCATAGGGATGGAGCGCTGTGGATTCTGAGCCTCTTCCCCTGTAAGAAAACACATGGCACAATGTTCTGAACCAGGGGAGTAGGCTCGCTCCCTTACCACCCCCAGTCTGTATGATCACACACTGCATCCAAGGTGAGCCAGGAGGGTGTGACTGACCAGTGGTTGCAATACAGTCAAAACCAACGAAGGCATAGAAACAGGTAGCAGCGCCACGGAGCATCCCTTCCACGCCAAAAGGCATGAAACCTCCAGAGCCCATAGACTCGAAGCTAGAGTGCAAGAGGAACAGAAACGGTTAGAGTTTGTTCAGCTAAGCCTGTACCTTTTCTCTAAGGCCTAGCTGCTTGTTGTCTCCCACTCCCATTCTGGATTCCCCCTCCTCCCCCATGAGGGTGCCAGCTTTGTGGCTCTCTAATCTACAAGTGTCATTGGGTCCACCCATGGTCAAGCAATAATCCTCTTTTGTGAGGCTCCAGTTCTTCGGGTCTCCCATAACGAAGCCAGAGATGAAGACAAACCCGAGAACCAAGAGGTTGGCCCCTGTGAACACTTTGGTAACCAGGGCTGATTCACTCGCCCCCAGGGCCAACAATCCTGTGGAGAGAATTGTTCAGGATCCTAAGAGACTAAATCCTTCCCCTAAGTTTGCTTTTCCTGCCTCTGTGAGGCAGACTCCTTCCTTCCCAGCTTCCTTCCCTCCCCATCCTTACCACTCCACACTCTCAAGCCCTTCCAGGCCCAACCCCGCCCCTTGCCTCACCAGTGAGCAGCAACACAAGGGTCAAAGCAAAGAAATCTGGATATTCTGCGAGAACACAGGGTACATGCAGTGAGATGGTCCCCTTCAGAGTCTCAGAGATGTGGTTCCCAATCAGATTGTCAAAAGCAGAGCTCCAAGCCCGGGCCACACTGGCTGTACCTGGTATAGCAATTGCATTTTGTACTATAATCCCAATACTCAGGAAAATGATGAGGTCAAGTTCCCTCCGACCTACACAGGCTCACACTGATCCCCACCATTATTACCCATCTTACCCTGGGGGGAGGGAGGTGACAGGTCTCTACTTAACTTAGCCTGGCCTTGAACTCAACAAATTTAGGACCCTCCCACTTCAGCCTCCTGAGTACTGGGATCACGGGTGCACACCAACACAACCAGCTCCTGCTATTAATTTTTAAAGCCCAAACCAGTATCTTAATGAATGAACACCAAACAAAGGTATACAATTGTTCTTCACCTTCAACCCCCCCTTCATCTCCACACACCCCTACAAATAAAAATATAAAGTAAACATCTAGAAGTATTTTGATACTAGAAAAAATAATGAAAAGTTCGGCTTCACTATTCCACTCAGATTTCTGGATCTATAATCCCTTCACTACTTGGATAGTCACCCACTCCAACACCCCCCCCCCCATCGCACCCCAAGCATCTATCTCACCAATGACGTAGGAGAGGATGAGGTTCCAGCCGGTGGTGAAGGCCCAGAGTTCACCGACAGTAACATAACTGTAGAGATATGCAGAACCAGAGCGGGGGACCCAGGCACCAAACTCAGCATAGCACAGTCCAGCCAACACAGAAGAAAAAGCAGCCACCAAAAAGCAGATCACAATGGATGGCCCCGCTTTATCTTTGGTCATCTCACCAGCCAGGACATACACACCTGCACCCAATGTGCTGCCCACACCCAGGGCCACTAAGTCGAGGGTGGTTAGGCATCTGGCAAGGCGGGTGTCGCCCATGCCTGGCTCCAACATGCGTCTACGCACCAGCTTTTGACCGAATCTTCTAAGTGCCTGCCACCGCATTCTGGCTGGCATTGAAGAGGATGCTAGGTTCTGGTGAAAAAAACAAGACAAAAGCCCTTTAATGGGTCTCATTATCCCTAAGCTCAGAAAGTGAATTACAAAGCCCACTCCACTACAGGGACAAAGGAAGGTAGGTGTGCGGGGAGCGAGCCACTTTACCTCTAACATCCAATTCTTCATAGGCAAATAGGAATTACAATAATAATGCAAGTAGGAATTACAGTATCTCTGAGGCTGGTGAACTCATTGCGCAGAAGAGGCAAGTGAAAACCCTTTGTAGCACAGTGGTTGGCCTCTAGTAAGTGCTTGGACACTATGTTTCTTCCTTTTCTGGCCAAGAACCTATGGGATTTACCCTAGAGCTCAGCCCAGCAGCCCTGAAATGTAACGTTTCTGCTTCCTGGCCTGCAGCTCCTGGTGAATCGAGAGGAACTCAACTCAGGGCAACTCTGGGAGAGGGCTTTCTCACACCCAATATCCACATCCCTTTCGGTGTGCGCCTGGAAGGCTTCAAAAAGACATGGCTACCCACCGCCTGGAAGAGAGGGACTGACCTTGCTGCAGGTTAAAAGTGGGCACTGTCTCGATCTCATCCCTCCTCACCAAGCACACAGCGCTCCACCTGAGCCAGCAAATGTTCCCCCACTTCCTCCCGCCTGCCTTAGGCTGGTCTGTGAGGATCCAGCAGGGCTTCGGTATCTGAAATTGGGAGATGCGCCCCCCGGGGGGGGGTACAAAGCCAGCCCTAGATGGCTCACACTCCCTTCTTCACAGACTAGGGGTCCCGCCCGATGGTCCTAAATTTAGCATCTAGATTTTATGACTCCATCTAGAAACGGTCTGCGGCTGCGCAGGAGCTAGGGAGCCCTGGACCCTGGGTTAGGGTCTTGCCAGCAACAGGTCACACAGCCCGCTGATGCAACTGCAGGCCGTGGTTGCCTGAGAAGCCTAGGTACTTGAGGACCCTCCCCCTCCCCACTGACACACGTGTTGGCCCCAAAGGCTTACCAGAGAGCTGTGGCAAGCCCAGAGAAAGGAGATTCTCAGATCTGGTTCGGTGAGGCTGACTTCAGAGTTGGGCTGGGTCTGCAGACAGAAGCTGCTCAGGCTTCAATGCTGCTGCTTAAGGTCGTTGCACACCAAGCGCCCCTATATTCACTAGAAGGAGGAACCAGTAATGTCATGGGATCCTACGCATGACACACAACACAATATACGTACCCATGCGCAGGCTAGTGTACGGGCACACAACACACACACGAGTTACTTGGCTTTGCAAGCCTGAGATTGCTTCCCAACCAAAAACAGCAAGCAGGGCATGGCGGGGAATGGGAAAGGCGGGAGGATAACCTTTTCCCATTTGCCTCTCTGGTGGTCAGAGGACAAGAAGCTTCCTGATCATAGATCCCCTGGGAATTTTCTACTTTTGTGCAGGATTAGTCAGAAACAGTGATTATAGGCAGCACTGGGGAGGGGAACGAATAAAGAGAATTGGGTTTGTGTGAAGGCTGGCGAGGCAAATAGCACCAAGTCTCCATCTCGTTCCTGTCGGCATGAAACCCTTCGGAAGGACCGTGCAGGACTCTGGGCAGCCAGCCATCTGACTGCTGCCCCTCAGCTCTCGGCCTCAACTGTTTCTAATGCAGACAACAAGAGGATGAGCGGAAGACTGTTTCAAACCACCTGTCCACGGATAATTACTCCTGTGTAGAGTTCTAGGCCACAAGGTATTTGCAGCATCTCTCTACCTGCCTATCAACAATAAATGTGAAATTACTACTATTGAGGGAGAGAAACTTTTTAAAATTTGTAGTGATGGGGGTCAATGTTGAGGCTTTATCAATGAGCTGCTACAGCCCCACCCTTTTGGTTCCGTTTCACTGGGACTAACTGAAGTTTGGAGCTTCATAATTATTGTGGAAATCACCCTTCTGATAAACCCGGCCTATTGTTTTCAGGTCTGTCTCCCACAGGCCCTCTACCTCATTTAAATGCACAAGAGAGAGGAAACGTGAAGCTCAAGCAAGCGGTGGGGCCTTTTAGGCTCTGAGTTACTAGGAAACAGTAGGAGACTGAAGTTCTTAGATAGAACTCTTACCACCTTGGTTGTAAGTGTTGTTCCCTTCCACTAAGCCATCTTAGCAACTCAGGATAGCCCAAAACACATGGTCTCCTTTCATGATTCACTAGGAACCTGCCAGTGCTCATCTAGCCGCCAAAGCCTTCTTGAGAGTCTCCTCTCTAGCCCGAGGTCACCAGAAATTTCCTCCTTAGCTCAGGCTAGCCTTATACTAGTTATACTCCTGCAGGCTTCAGCTTCCTAAAATGTTTGGTTACAAAGCTGCCCCACCAACCCCGATTACAAATTCGTTTTCAAAGGAATCGTTCTTTTCAGCTGCGTAAAGCACCTCTTGGGCATTCCATAAAGCAAGCTACAGAGATGGCTCAGTGGTAGAGGGCTTGCCTAGCTAGGATGTGTGAGGTTTCTGTTGGCCACCCCACCCCCACTCACCTCCACACCACAAACAAACAAAAAGGATGCAGTCGCTGAACAGCTGGTGAAACAACTTGCGGGAGACTAGCAATCACTGTCTCCAAGGCAAACATTAGAATGGAACAGGTTTCTTCACTGCATCTAGGGTAAATACCGGAATGAATATTTGGCTTTTTAAAGTGCTTAGGCCTTGCAGAACTGTGGGGAAGCAGTGACTGTTTTCCGTGATTTATAGAATTGTTTTTCTGAGGGAGCGTTACAGCCTTTGCATGACTTTGGTCACAAGACACTTCTAGCACACCTGGATCTCTTTCTTGGATGACTGGGTACTTGGGGCTGCTTCAATGGCGTTATGAAGTCAAGTCTTCCTGTCTGGCACAGAGGACTATTCAATGAAAATCTGATGCAGATTCAAAATAATGTATTAGTGTATATGACAACATCGTGGCTGCTTCACCTCAGTGATTGACGGCAATGTGAGATTAATTGGCAAACTAATAAATGTTCGGACAGATAGTACAGACTGGAATGCTAAGGAAGGCTTCGTTTGTAAGACATTGAGGGGAAAGAGTTGCAAGGGCTTAAGCTGAACCTTAACGAATGTGGGCTGACTGAGCTGTGGAGCTACAAAGATGCAAGAAGCCAGGGGAGAGTAAAGGCCTCTAGCTGGTGTTGGAAAGCCCTACAGGGCTTGGTAATAACAGATGTCCCTCTCCAGGATTATCAAGTATCTCAAATGTACAAATAAACAATATTTCTTGAAATCCTTCAGATCCCAATTTGGTTCCCTTGGCAACCAACCCCCATCCTGAAGCTGTTCTGGAACCCCCAGCCAGCAGGCATCATTAGCAATACAAAAGACATTTGGAGATAACAAAAATCACTTTGGAGAATCCAAGGACTTTAGAAACTGGGTACCCAGAAATTAGGCTGAATATCAAACAAATGTGTGCAATTTATTACAAACGATGAAATTACTTACAGAGAGAATATTTACATCAAAAAGTTTGCAGCTTTCTGACACAGGCTCATGTAGCCCAGATTGCCCTGCTCTCTCTCTCTCTAAAGAGAGAGAGAGAGAGGCAGGGTCTTGTGCAGCCCAGGCTGGCCTTGGATTCTCTATGTCTCTATGTAGCTCAGGATAGTTTTGAACTCATCATCCTACCTGTTCCACCATGGCCAGCCATGGCAAAATTCGCCCTAAAGGTGTGCAATTCAGTAGGGTTTAGCTCTAGTCACAGAGTTGTGCGTCCTTCAGTTTAAGAACGTTTTCACCACCAAAGGAAACCCGAGGCCCATTCCTGGTAACTGCTCATTTCCTCCCAACACTTACTCCAGCTGTTGGTGACCCCAACCCTCTCAAAAGAGACTTTAAAGGCAAAGCCTGGGGGATCCTAGCAGCCACAACAAGCACTTTAACAAAAGTAAAAGACACAATTAATAGCGAAAAACAGAGAAAATCGATTTCTTCAATGTGCCACATTGGGAAGAGGGATAGTTAAGTCCTGGGAGCACCGGGAGCACCACTCCCCCTCTTCAGAGCACTCACTTGAGGCTGAGGCTTAGAGGTCGAGGGATTTAAGCAGTCCCTGTCAAGCTGTGGTCCCAGCTTCAGTTTCTTGTACAAGGTGGGCTGACAAGTAGTGTGAGATTTCTTCCAGAAAGACAAACTCTCACCTCTGGTGTTTGAGACTCTTGGGGAAATTCCAGTCCCTGGAATCCATTGTCTCCACGGTCTGATAGCCAAAGGGAGGGGCCCAGGTGTCTCTTTAGAAATCTTTCCTGCCTGGACAGTTGCAAACCCTTCAGCATTGATCGCTGATTGGAAGCTATGGAGGTTCAGCTCTGTGGAATGAATACCTGTGGAGGCTTAGAGCATGACTAAGGACAGGTGGGGGTGCTGTACCATACTTGAACCGGTCACACTGCAGATGCTCCACCTTCCAGCTATGTTGGAAACCCTTCTGGTTTCTCCGCATCTACTTTTTGGAGGGTGGAGTACTGGAGAGTGAATCCTTATGCCTACTAATGGTGGGACCTACCACTGAGCTACACTCTAGTCTCACTAACCGTGGGATCTACCACTGAGCTACACTCTAGTCTCACTAACCGTGGGATCTGAGCTACACGCTAGTCTCACTAACCGTGGGACCTACCACTGAGCTACACTCTAGTCTCATGCTTCCATTTAAGGGCTCATGTGATTGTATCCAAGACAATCTTCTTCTTTTTCTTCTTCTTCTTCTTCTTCTTCTTCTTCTTCTTCTTCTTCTTCTTCTTCCTCTTCCTCTTCCTCTTCCTCTTCTTCTTCTTCTTCTTCTTCTTCTTCTTCTTCTTCTTCCTCTTCTTCTTCCTCTTCTTCTTTCTAGACAGGGTTTCTCTGTGCTGCTTTGGAGCCTGTCCTGGAACTAGCTCTTGTAGACCAGGCTGGCCTCGAACTCACAGAGATCTGCCTGTCTCTGCCTCCCTAGTGCTGCTAACTTTCTAACAAATGCCACGTTTTCTTTCACCTACTTTTTGTCT